CAACCTTAACTTCATAGTCACTGGGAAGATCAAAGAGACCGGCCGTATCGTGTCCGCCATGAAAGTTGTCACCCTGCACACTCCCAAACTCACTGTTGAGGTACGAACTTTTCCTTTGGCTGATCCAGCGTGACTCCTTCATAATGCCTGTACTTGCATAGCACTTTATCAAGTCTAGAGGACACTAAAGCACTTCAAACTACATTCACAATCTGATGGTGGTCAGATTATAGCCACAGCTGCCCTGGAAGTCTGACAGAAGTGAGTAGCAGCACCATCAGCAGGGTGCAAGGCGAGTAAAATGTTTGGCTCAAGCACACAATGATGGAGACAGATGGAGCGGCCACCCACCGGTTCCAGGGTTGGGCTAACTCTTACCACCGTCTCTACCATCGGCGCCGAACAGTTTGTTCCTTATGAAGAAAACCTCCTTCATGTTTACCTTCTGAGGCTTCTGTATGTTGTTTTTTTTGCGCTTCAGGTGTCTGGTGGCGGCAGAGTGAATGAAGAGATGATGGCCACTGTGCAGTTTACCAACCCCTTCTCCTTCAACCTTGAGAACGTTTACCTGCGAATGGAAGGACCTGGAGTCATGGAGCTCAAGTCCAGATACTACAGGTGAGACTGAGAGGAAACAGACGAGTTCTCCTAGAAATAAACTCCATCCATCTTGTTCTTCTTCTTGCTAAAACAGCTTCTCACTTTATTAACTGCAGGCATTGCGTTTGCATTTGGGTCCGTAACCCTAACACTCACTAATCCTAACCCTCACTGATGGACACTGTAAAAACACATCATTTTAGTTTAGTTTCTAGTGCAATTATCTTACTAGACTTAAAATAAGACAAAACTAACTGACAAGTAACTTTTCAGCAAGATATAGGAGCTTGTTTTAAGTTAGTAATTTCTTTATATTGACAGAAAGTACTGGTTCCATTGGCAGATTGTTTCACTGATAACATGGGCAAAATGTCTTGCTATAAGTGAAATAATCTGTCGAAGGAAGGAGTACATTTTCATCCATAATGAGGAACTATTGACTTAAAACAAGCTCCTGTATCTAGTTGAAAAGTTACTTGTGAGTTAGTTCTGTCTAACTTCCAGTGTACAAAGATATTTGCAGTAGAAACTAGACTAAAAATATTTCATGTGCATCATCATTGGTCTTCAGCAGCCTTTGCTGCATGGTCATCTCTTTCCTATTCAGAAAACCATCACAAATCCAGTGCAATTACAGACTGCGTTATGTGGCTAAAAACACTGTACATACCGTACAACAATTCACAAAACAAAAATCTGGGCTTCATAGTAACGCCTATCAAAAGAAATGAGCCACAACATTTATACAACAGAACCTCAGAATAGATGTTGAATAGTTTTTCCACTTATAATTATCTGTTATATGTTAAATAACTTTTTCTGGCTACTAAATTGATATGAGATAAATTGATAAGCTAATGATTTGTGCGTCTCAGTCTTCTTAAAGCAGTCCAGTTTGTAACTCAGGCTCTGCTGTTCACAGTCTGCTCCCCGGCGGCTCCTCTCTGACCTGGACTGAGATGTTTACTCCGCAGAGGCCTGGCAAAACCAGAGTGATGGCTACTCTGGACTGTTCTGGTCTCAGACAGGTCTCCGGCCAGGCATCCATCACCGTCGAAACCTAAAGAGGAAACAGAAGACTCACCGACACCCAGCTGCAGCATCCAGCCCTGTGCACAAGCCTTAAAACAACCCCGATTTCTTTAGACTTAGCTAAAAATGCTGAAATTGGAGAAAAGTTTCAGAAAGCATGGGAAAGTACTGGTATGGGCTTATTATTGTTACATGTTTCAATAACAAATTTTGCCGGACGATAAATTGTCCTAGAACTTATTGTGATAAACGATAACATTGTTATTTTAAGAACATTTTCGAGTGGTATGATAGTAATAATGGCATAAAAATGCGAGAGCATATCCTCAAAGATCAATAAACTTTAAATTCTAATGAACATTTAAATGCTGGAACTGGAAAAAATTTGAAATATCCAAAATAAAGAAAGAAAACAACAAATAAAATAAAATGTGAAGTCAAAATTAAACAAAATTATCGTTCAAAAAAAGTAACAGTTAAGACCAAAGTACCAGACTGAAGACTTTATAATTCAGTTTTTGGTTAAAAAGAGAGAAAAATGATAAATCAAGCTAAATTATTGAGTTTCTTTTAATTTATCATCTGATTAATTGGTTTATTGTTTATTGTGGCAGGCCTAATTACATGATAATCTGTTAAAACATGACTGAAGGGGTTGTCTGAAGACTTCTGCACAGTAAAGTACTTAAAGTATAGAGACTTCCATAACTTTTATCATCTATATCAATAGAGGCGGTAGTTTGAGCATATTGAAATACTAATCTGATGCATGAAAGTACAGACAAAAATAGATTTTAAAAAACTCAGATTTTTACCTGTAGCATAATAAAGATTGATCAACAACTTAATATTTTGGTCAGTACAAATCTTGACCATTTTTGCTTCAAGTCCCATTTTTGAGTAATTTAATTTGGCCACTAGGGGGCAGAATAACTTCGAAAAGTAAAGGTGACTGAACTTTCACTGCATGTGTAAACAGGTAGGGAGTTTCAGCCACAGTTGTCCTTTTTACGCCATGCAACAAGCCCAGTCTGTTATATTCTGAAATACTTAAGCACATATTATATAATCTCTTTGCAATGTAAGAGCTTCCAGTTTATTTCCATTTGCTTGCTATGAAGCAAACAGCAGGTTGAGGTAAGCAGAGGATTTATTGAAACTGTGCGGCTAAAAATCTTACAAATACTGAATATATGCCATAGAAAACTGATAGCAGGCTTTTAGATACAGTATTTTATCAAACTATATATTGTTTTAGTTTACATTTCAGAAAGAATCCCATACTTCTGTGTATCTCTATGCAGATTAAACTCCATTTATATTCACCGTTAACAGCTATTTCTGTTTGTTCCTTCATCTTGGAATTACCTAATAAATAAAGTAGCAACATGTGGTGTTGGTTATTTTTATTGCATCAGACTGTGTGAGTCAGAGACAGAGTGGGGAAGCCAGGATGTCACTAACCTCATAAAGCTCAGTCATTAACCCTGCAGTGAGTTTTTCATTTTATAATAGGTCTTCCTGGTAATAAAACTATCCAAGTCTCTTACCCTAACAGTATAATAATCCTACTTAGTGCACAAATTCCACTTTGTAAAAGTCAACATTTCACATAAATGTGTTTTTAGGATCGATAATAATCTAAGGCAAACCATTTTCCCTAAAAAGTAACTTATACTGTTGGTGTCTTCATGTTACTCTCCACAAAGTTTTCACAGTACAGTTAAAAACTGACCAGTGTGCTGCAGCCCTTTAATTTGCAAGATGGACATCGTTCAGCTGTGAAGCACTGGATTCAGTCACTTTTCACTGGAGGAGAGTCTTAATGCCATCACTACATCCCGAGATGGTCTCTAGGAGACGTGCGATGTAACATTGATGTTCCAGGATGAATGAAATAGCAAAAGACAAGGTGGAGCAAATTAGTAGATTGTATTAATAAAATGTAAATAATGTGACTGGAGCTTCCCGAGACGAAAACTGGTGAAATTATAAACCTTGATTGGTCAGCAAACGCTCTGAATCTGTGGAGCACTGTAAAAGGGAAAATCAGAGATAGCAGACCAAACAATGCAGATCGCCTGAAAACTGCAACTAAAGCAGCCTGAGCTTCCATGACTGCAGAACAACATGCTGATCGCCTCCATGCCTCGTCACAGTGATGCAGCAATGAATGCAAGTCCAAGTGGTTAGAACTGAACGTTTTCCATAGGTTTCTGTTTAAAATGTGCATTATTTTTACTAATCTTATATAACATTCCAAGACAATTTTCTGACACACTAAATATTGTTTATTTTTAGCAGTCTGTCAAAAAATAACAAGAAACAAAGGCTTGAAATACTTCAATCTATGAGTCTGAATCAGTCTATGTTGAACGTTTCTAAAATGACAAGAAACTGCTCCCTTTTTCATGATTTTCCAATTTTTCTAAGATATACTCGGATAACACACAGTTTTACTGATTTAAAGCAATCTAACATTCGGAGTTAGAAATGAAAATTGTCTGTCTATGTCTCGTAAAAGACAGTCCAATGTAGTTGAGGATAGCTCTCATACACAGCATCACAACAGCCTAAAAAGTCACCAACACTGTACATGTTGTTTGGAGAACTTTTATGCAGAGAAAAAATGCATTATTTGGACTAAGTCAAGAAATCAAGACGGTCAAGTTGATCCATGGCGCAACAACTTTTTATGGAACTTAAGTTCAGAAAAAAATATACAGTTTTTACAAACATCTTACTGTACAGCCTTAAAGTGCATGAGAAAAACTTGATTTGTTGAGAAAGTCCTCACCCAACAGAACAAGGTAATGCCATTTAACCATGTGGTTAAAAATCAGTGGCGCTTTTTAGATTCATCCATATAAACAGTAATTATTAGTACCGTATTTTCCAGACTACAGAGCGCACCGTACTATAAAGTGCATGTACTAAGTTTAAAAAAAACAACCTGGAAACGTATATATATAGGCCGCTGGTATCTCAGCCGCTCTCGGTTTTTCATAAATCTGCTATTAAAGACGCTGCCCTGCGTCTCCAACGCCGAACCATGGATTGGCTCACGCTGAGCTTACGTACAGCGGCTCTATTTCCCTCCTGTCCTGCCAGATCGATACTCCTCAACTTAAAAGCGGGATCTTTTTCTTCGTGTTGTTTCCATGATGAGGGGGTATGAGTTTGAAAACATTTATCCGTCATGCTGCTGCTAGCATGTGCTCGTTCTAAAAGAAAATTTAGCACTTTCTTCCAATGATTCACTTCCTGCTAAAGCAGAAAAGCCACAATGGGCTATAAACCGCATGGTTCAAAGCGTGGGGGAAAAGTAGCGGCCTATAGTCCGAAAAATATGGTATTTACATTTTTACTGTTTTTATTTTGTGTTTGCTCATTTATATTTACAGTACTATGCAAAATCGCTAAATCACTCGTATTTATTTCTCGTTTTCTCTGAGGTATCTAAACTACTGAAAATAGATTTGCAATATCTGGATGTCATATGTTTAAGAAATGGTGAAATGTGTAGCAAAGATCAGACACAAGGTCTTTCTTTATTGACCATGTGTTTTATGTCAGGTTTTCAGCTCTCTTGGGAATAACCCTGTTGAAGCTGTTTAAGATTTATTCAAGATGTATTTAAGATTGTTTTATTTGCAATTTTTTACAGATTCGGTCAAAAAGGTTTCAATAAATTGTGTCTATCTGACAGGCAGACAAGTTTCAAAAGATCCTTTTAACAGGTTCATCTAAGAAATCAAAGGAAAATCATTATAGCACTCTCAAAAATCTGATAAAATAATAATCAAGGTTACAATAACATTTAGTTAAAGGATCAACAGATTTGAGGTTTTCTAGTAATCCAGGAAATGTTTTTTTTAACCTAATATTACCCAGAAACCGTTAATTCATGAGATGTTTTCAGGGTCATTGCTTGAAGGTGATGAGGTAGTCTGGATAAGCTTGGTCATCGTGGAACACGACAAACATGTTGGGTCTGTTCATTCTATCCACCACGCTGTCGTATAGTATATGAGGCTGCTGGTTATCACGAGGTGGAGGAACCTTCATGCCGGTTTGGCCCAGAGTGTAGACGCCCGTCAGGACTCTAACCACAAACATCAGCTGAGAGCCATCAGCAGCAGGTCTGGAGTAGGCGGGATGGGTGGAGTAGCTGGCATTTACAGCAAAGTAGGTTCCCTCACCAAAGCTTGTTGCTACGAGACCGACAAAAATAAAGACTTCAGTAAACTATAACAAAGAGATACTTGCTGAACAGGTTTTTCCTTTTATTTACTCATTTCTTGGTTACTTTTAAGATAGACGTCACCATTTTAATTTATAAAAGCTATAAGATATAATGCATAAGATAGTTTTACCGTTTTGCCCACAGAAGCGCCTGTTGAAGCCAGTTTTCATGATGGAGTCACAGTTGTTCTCCGTTGTCCCATGGTATAGAAACTTTTCATTTGCCCCTCCCTCCTGTTTGTTCTTTTCAAATATTTTTTTCTTCTGTGCCTCATAAGCACGTCGTAGATGAATGCTCTGCACTCGCTCAATCTAACAAGAAACAGAGAAAAAAAAAATTAAGGACAGCCACCAAAAACATCCTACAGATACTTGTAAAACTCTAAATCACTCCTGAGGTAAGCAGCAACAAAGTCAATTTTTAAAAATTGTAAGTTCTTATTGGAAGCCACCGACCTTCATTACAGTTTGGTTAGCAGTTACTTTGAATCCCTGCTTCACTCTCCTGTACTCTGGTGAAGAAGACTCCAGCGTTACCCTCTTCAATACCTCACCGTGCGTCATGTTGTCCCATTCCAAAGGGAACGTGAAGTCTGGAAAATATATTAGACCACAAAATTATAGTGAAGCCGTCTTGTAAAATAAGAATATCCAGTAGGATTGCTTCTAAGTTTACAACTAAGATTTAACTACAGCTTTCACACTGAATGAGAGGAATAAACAAAAGTTATAATAAGACCAAAATCTAGTAATATGATATTTGAGTGTAAATGCTGTAGTAGTCACTACTTAGTGTAATACGTGGAAATATATATATGTATATTTAAAGAAAAAGGACAGGGCTTTAACAAAAATGAAGACGGTAATGACAGCACATTAGTTAGCTGACACATAACACATCAATAAGCATTTTGCAAAATGCTGAGTAAAAGTAGTTTGTGACATACTTCATAGATACTTTTAAAATGTAATTTTCTCACCTTCCAGATTCTCAAGTCGTTTGAGGTTTGTTTTGTAGCCTTTAGCTGAGACCATTAAGTTTTGTAGATCCACTTGCCACAAGACTCCGTGTGCATCCACAATTCCTCCTGTAACATCCCTCCTTTCCAGGTTGTAATTGGCTGTTTTGGGGACTCTGTCCCAGTTTCCATTTTTTCCCAGGATGCACCACATCACACGTTTGTACAAATCATCCTCATCCCTCCCTCTCACCTCTCTCGTCAGGGTGCCGTGCAGGTTTGAATTGAACTTCACAATTGCCCTGTTGACCCCGTCTTTCATACCGTTCACCATCAGGTTTCCAGACGGATCCTTCTTCATGTACAGACCCTCCATCCTCACCAGCTGCTGAAGATCTAACATGTCGTCTGCGTTGAGACTGTCTAGCTGCTCTTTGGGGAAGGTGTGTTCAGTACACTGATTCTTATAAAGATTCTTCATTTTTTCCATGGCATCATTAACATCCTTTCTGGTAAGACCCAGGAACAGGAATGTCGATGGCTCACTCACAGGAATGGTATCATATATGCTGAGGTCAGCAACCAGAGGTAAAGGTGCCTGTTGTTGTACCTGAGGCACCTGAAATGGTGGTGCTGGAAAAAAGGTCAAAGACATTTGTGAAAAGTCTGAACATAATATTTAAACCATCATAAGAGACACACTAGCAGGAAGCTATTTGTGAAAAATGTTCTGTTACATTTTCTTCCAGAAGTGGGGAACATCTGTGTTGCTTCTTCTTTAAAAGCTAAGAAGACGTTGATTTTAATCAGGACAAGGCGGATGGAGGTGAGGCTGTAAAAAGGACCGGATGATGTGGCCGTTTGGATTCCTCTCAGGATTGCACCTGCAACAACTGCAGGGTCCAGCCCACCGGCTCCTGCAGAAACAGATTGTCCACACAGAGTTCAGCCACACACTGCAACATTCATTATGTGTTCTCTAAAGAACACAATACACTTACCTGCACAGATGGCAGGAATCGCTACGGAGCTAAATCCCAGGCTTTCACAGTAGTCAATGATGCTGGGAACAAGAGTTTCAACAAGGCTTGCATCTTTCTCTCCACATACATGTAAGATGGCTTTACAGGGGAACAGTCCAGGGGGTGTCACAAAAACGTTTCCCCGGCTCACTTTCGCTACACACAAAGCACAGGAGATCACCACAAGAACAAACTATCTGAACTGTGTGTTGCTTTAAAACACGTGGCCAATTCTCCTCTCTTACCCGTTTTCAGCTGAGCCTCCACCACTGATCCAGCTACGGTTAAAATGTCTTTGCAAACTCCCTCTGTAATAATTAATTATGTACACTTTAATATGTTTTCTTTGCTCATGTGAAAGCAGAGCCAAGACTTGTTTCACAAAGGGTAACAATCATTTTTAATAAGGAATTCGACTTCATAAAGTGCCATTTAAAATCCATTCTTAAGAGTAACACTCTTTTAATCTCTGTAAACTTCCTAATGTTGCCTAATCAAAAAGAAAAACAATAAATCACGTTCAGCTTTTTATTCAGTTGTTCTATAGACAATAACAATAAAACAACACAAAGTCCAATAAATATTCATCCAGATAACAATCCGATTTATTAACCACTGTATAACATTTTTTTGTAAATTAACCACTGGTATTTATTGAGTCTAGATGGTAAACCAAAAACTTTTGATTATGTTTTAAACGGTGTTGGTTGAATGTTTTTGTTCCATGTGTTGTGTTCCAGGTGCTTTACTCATTTAGGTACATATTGATATCATCTTTTGTTCTTTTGTGGAAAATTTTGCTCTGACTATAAGCCACTTTGTCTCCTGGGGAACGTTTCATATCTGTTTGGACATCTGAGAAATTTAAATAGCTTTTTTTTATACTATATGGTAATTATGCCAACAAATTGCATGAGTTATTTTAGTTTAATCAAAGATCATAAACTGAACATTTTATTGCAGTCTGATAAGCCACAAGCTAATTTTCGAGACCTCATGATGGTCAAATTCAGTAATATAGCTTAAAGCCTCATGTCTCCACACATTTAGTCCTATTTGGAGGTTCAGTTTGCCTGACACCACATGCTTCCTGAAAACCAATCAAAATCCATGAAATCCTCTCAAACGTGTTTTATGGGTAAATCCTGTGAAGCCGAATCATATGACCTGGTCTTATTCTGTTTGTCAACGATCTGTTGCTGCTGCCATGATTTTAAGTGTGTATGTATTCATTCATCCTCTTTTCTGCTCAGTAATATGCTTCAGTGTGTGTCAACAAACAACTTTACAGCTACAGTTCCTTCCTTGGACTTTGACCTTCAAATGCTCACTTCCTGATCACCTACCATTGTAGAAGTTGACAAAGTCGGTAGTGTTCACCACAACGTCTGTAGTCTCGTTAGTGATGTCGCCGAACACCAACTGCAGTTTGACCCCGCCTCCTACAGTGAGGTTGATGTCATCGAGGTCACTGGTGAGGGATCCGAAGAGTGCTGAGAGAAAGAAGCCGTCCTGAAGTTTGATGCCAATAAAATGTTTATATGCTACAAAATTATGAACTGCCAATAAAGTCTGGTTTACCTTTGCCTCTCTGGTTCATGATTGAGCTGAGATGTTTGTATACTTCATGGTAGCTCTGGAAATAATTAAAATCAATAATAAATGTTTTGTAACATTTATTTAAACTCCATACTTTGCCTTTAAGAGGTACCTCCTCAGAGTCTGGATAGCCCGGTTTAATGACGATGTGGATGGTGGTGAGATTTCCACATTGGTCAGACAATGCAAATTGGCGAATGCTTTCCTTCAGAATTTGAACGGCTTCACTCAAGGGGTATTTTAGGAGAAGTCCAGGCCCGATAACAGGAATGGCCACTGAACTGAAGCCCTTCTCTGCACAGAGGTCCAAACATCTTCTTAGCCCCCTAGAAAGAGCCTGGAAGACAAGAATAAAATATTTCCCTGTGTTAATAAGAATCCATCAATCCACAGGCCATACGGGATACATGGTCCTTCCTGTTCTAGGGGTATCCCTCTGCTATCAGACTTGAAATCTTCTGAAGAATGGCACATAGTCATCCTGATTAATGCCAAAAACTCCACAATCAAACAATGAGTCCAAGCTCATCCCGTCTCATAGCGACTCAATCTGTCTTTTATGAGGCAAGTCACCTTATGAAGGATGCTAAGTTCAGCCACTTGAAACCGTGGATTATTCTCTCCGTAAATAGTTCTTGATTTTTGAAGTTCTGATTTCTCACCTGCACTCCTTTTCCTCCAACTCCATCCCAGGCCAGGCACTCTATGCAGAATATCTTGGAGCAACCTAGAGAAGTGCTGGCACTGACCTCCAGAACATCACCAGGAATGAGGGAAGAATTTGCAGCCGATAAGTTGAACTTTGACTGGACCACATCTCCGCCTTTCACAAGCAATGATTTGCCAATATTTGTTGAAGACAGCTGCCTGCCGTGTGTGGGGACGACCAAAACATTCACCTGTGGAAACGTTTAGAAATAGCATTAATGGAAAACTGACAACCTGATCATATCGGGCCAGTAATGTCAGTTTGTCAGACATTACTGCCAATGTCAGACATCCTTACATTGGCAGGATGTGAGACATGCTTTCTCACATCCTGCCAAATGTGTGAAAGAAAATAAAGGAAAATGGTCAAACCTGCTCTTTCTCTAAGCTGCCAATCTTGATTTCTAGGTTGATTTTGACTGGACTGTTTCCAACAGTGCTGAAGCGAGTCCTGGGAGTTGACGGTCTTGGTGTGATGCTGCTGAGGCTTCGCTGTTTGTTTGCCACAGTTGGTGAGCTAACAACTTGTTGTTCCCTAATAATCACCTGACAGGAAGTTTCAACCAGCTCCTTGCTGACTTTACCAGCTCCTTGGAAGTACTGCAGCGCCCCAGGACCATCCAGAACCAGTTTGTCCATCGTCATGCTGGCCAGAGTTGACCCGAGGGCTTGTTTGGTCTCCTGAACCCGCGAACGAGGACCAGACAAAAGAACACAAGGATTTGGAAAAGAGGAGGCTTTGAGTGTCACATCGGTCTGCTTCATGCCAAGTATTCCTAAGATTTTATCAAAGCAGTCAACAAGTTCAGGATACTGCAGACTGATAACCTCTTGAGTTGAAACCTGATTTGCCTGGAAGGAATAAATAAGCTCTTTAAGCTTGTTCACGTGTTCAGTGTAGCCCACCAGCTTCACTCTGGATGATGAAGTGCCACTGGATCCAGGAAGGAAGCTAAAGTTCACTCTGAGCTCGCCACGGTTTTCCTCGCTCTTGGCTCTGTTGAGGATTTCCTTGAGTGTGTCTAGATCTGGAGCCACAGCTGCAGCACCCTGAAGAGTCACACTGGACTCATTCAGATCTCTCAGCACCGCCATCTCTGCTTCCCTCAGAGCATCCGAAGACAAACTGGACAGAACCAGTTCGGATCCCACCTCCAGGGACACTGGGCTTCTGAGACTTTGCTCAAACCGTGTTTGGTACTTGTAGATGACGCTGCTAGTCGCCATGAAGGTTAATAAATCATTGGAAAGATTAACCCTCTTTTCTTGTATTTTCTTAATCAGTTCGTTAAGTTTGGCTTCACCAAGCTGCACCTTATCTTCAGGACCTTCTAAGATGATGATGTTAGAGGCCCTGCTGATTTTCACCTCTGGACAACTTGCACTCATCTCTCGGTTGAACTCCTCCTCAATCATCTTGAACCGTTTCTCCACAACCGGCTGCTCTTTGCGAATTGGTATGCTTTTCTCCAGAACCGCAATCTTGTCCTTCACTACACATGTCTCCCCTACAACCACAGCATAGCCACTCTCTGAGTACACTCTCACATCATCAGACACAAAGAAGGGATCCTGTAGAACCTTCTTGACTCGTTTGGGCTCAAGGACATGATGGCAGGTGTAGGCCTCAATGACATTGATGAAGGTCCGGTCCACTTGTAGCTCCCAGTTTTCTGCTGTGCCATCAAAAGCTCCTCCAGGCCCTTTCTCTATGTTCCCCCTCACCACTGCCTCTTCTTCCTCAAAATCTAGCTGTATCGTGCAGCCGATTGCAGAGAACTGCTTCTGCAGTATTTTGTAAGCTTTAGGGTTGTCTCTCATGTAGAACAAGAGAAAGATGTCTGTCCTGAAAGTCTTCTCAAAGCCTTTTGTGCTGAGTTTAGTAGTCGTCTGAAAGAGCAAAACAGCAAAATTAATGAATTTGTTACGTAGCCGAAAAATGGACACAGACAAAATTAATTAGAAAAAACATTGTGCCTTGGGAAACCTACCACATTTTATTTCCAAAAACAAAAATGTATTTATTGGTATTTTATGTGATAGACCAACACATTGTAGTACCAGAAAAGTGTCTGAAAACTTCAGACAAACCTGAAGACAAACTTTTGTTCCCTGTTCTCTGAACTTCAGAGAACAAACATCATGAAGACCAGGGATCATGGAAGATGGGGTTAGTGAGAAAGTTCTAGAGAAGTTTAACTCAAAGTTAGGTTATAAAGCAGTACCCCAAAACTGGAACGTCTCTCATAGATCTGCTCAATCCATTATCTTTGAAAAAATTGGAAGAATTGAAAGACTGTAGAAAACTGCAACCCAAAACGACATGACTATCCATGAGTGTCGACATCATTTGTGTACTCTACATGTAAAAGCAGCTCATTTCCAATTTTCCACAAATCATGTGGAGGATTGATGAAACATGAGGAAAAGGGTGATCTGGTCATTAGATTCAGGCGTGTTGAAGCATGGATGCATCTAGTAGCTCAATTTGTTTGGACCTGCTTCAGAACAACACACACACACACACACACACACACACACACACACACACACACACACACACACACACACACACACACACACACACATACATACATACATACATACACAAATACATACATACATACATACATATATATATATATATATATATTAGAACATTCTAGACAATTTCCCGATTTAAATCATTTAAATCCAATACAGAGTCTGTGCAACACTTCAACACTTCAGACTTGCTCTGCCCATCAGGTCTAGCTGGGCGTCAGCCATTTTAAAAAAAAAAAGAAGTGGGCAAAACATTTCGACTCCTAGATGTGCAAATTCAGCAGCAACATGGACCCAGAAACTGCGGCAGCAAAAAATGGTTCTACTAATAACTGACCCAAGGAGGCTGAATACCCATGTGTGTCACACTAGTCAGAGATTTGCTCCGTAAGAATCTGAAAAATCATGTGTAATTTTTGTTACACTTAATAAATACGACTTTGAATTAGTCAATCATATAAAGTCTCAAAAATATAAATTCAAGTTCATGTTTATAATGTGGCAAAATAAGATGTATATATGCATTCTGCAAGATACTTTGTATTATGTTTGTGAAATATTGAAATATTTCTCTTAGAAAAATAAAGACCATGCAAGTTACTACTAAACACTACTGTGACTCAAATCCACCAAAGTCAGAAAAATAAGGAAAACTGATCTGATCAGTTGAAAATGAAACCAAAAGAAAAATCAAGACAAATATGCACTGCTATGTTTAGTCAACAACGCTAGGCCCTGTTGAAGTTTTATCCTGCTTATATAAAAAAAGTATAAACATATATATTTGTAATAAACTAGAGCTCACTTGTGATTGGCTTGTCGATGGCTGATCCTGGGTCTGTGGTGAACTGCTCCGAGTCACGGTCAGGTGTACATCTCCCCCAGGAAGACTAATAGTATGAGTTTTCCTCTGTAAAACCCTTTCCTGGACTAGAAGATGGAAGAGAATAGTAATGATGTCCGTTTTAAATCTGCATGCATGCTCTTATTTAAGCCAGATGTCATTGCGTACCTTCTTGTTCCTTGAAGCAGACTTTATAGATGTTGTCTCCCACCTTTTCAACCCCACCACAGTCGCCTCCCCCGGAGTCTCTTCTTTTCTGAAAGTGTCTGCTGACCTTTTCCTTCTCTCTGTCTGTTAAATATCTGGCCTCAAAATACAGCGGATATGGATATTCAGCCATTTTTGACTTCTAAACTGAGAGAGGACTTCTTGTTCTTGTCCGTAATCTGACTAAACAGCATTCACTGAAGAGCTAGTTTCACTTTCTGTTATTTGTCACCTCCCCTTCATGCTTGTGACACACCCAGTCCGGTAACAGTTCGGGAAATGGAAAACTAGAAGGTATTTCCTGGTGTCACTGTTGAACACTGGCAAATCAAAAATAAATGAAAGACAATAATACCCACTGATCATGATAATATTTATTAATGTGCAAACACAGCATCTAACATTTCATGTGGCAATGACATAACGTGCAATTTTGCAATATCCCTACATTCACTGTGTAGAAGAAATATATTTGCACACAAGTACTACTAATAACCCTAGTAATACTCAAGCTGCGTCCCACATGCCATATATGTAATCATAATAAAACTTAACTGTTTTGTTATTTGTTGAAATATGTGTGAACTGGTTCCATCTCTAATTTTAAGAGCCAAAGGAGTTAAAAGGAAATCACCACAGGACCTTCAGAAAATCTGATAAAATAATAATAAAGACAGCTTTCAAAGTTACAATAAAGTCTATCTTAAGTATCAACATATTTGAGGTTTTAGTGAAAATTTGTATGTCTTCTACTTTTAACCTAGTTACCCAGAAACCATTATTTCACTCTAACTTTGATAGGACCATGAGACGTTTTCAGGGTCATTGCTTGAAGGTGATGAGGTAGTCCGGATAAGCTTGGTTATCATGAAACACAACATGTTGGGTCTGTCCATTTTATCCACCAACCTGTCATAACGTATATGAGGCTGCTGGTTATCGAGAGGCGGAGGAACCTTCATGCCGCTTTGGCCCAGAGTCTGCGCTTTGTCTGGTTCCTCACCTAGGAGTCTGGCTTGGGTAACCCTACCATGGCCATAAAGCCCCAGACAGCACAGCTCCTAGGATCACTGGGACACTCAAACCCCTCCACCACAATAAGGTGGCAGCCCATGGAGAGGAAGAAAAGAAATGTGTCCTCTAAACCAGTGTTTCTCAACCCTGGTCCTCACCGCCCCCCTGTCCTGCATGTTTTAGGTATTTCCCTTCTGCCACACACCTGAATTGTATCTATTGGTGATTAACAGGCTTCTGCAGTACTTGATGGTCATGCAGTCATTTGAATCAGCTGTTCTGGAATAGAGGCACATCTAAAACATGCAGACCAGGGCGCCGGTGAGGACCAGGGTTGAGAAACACTGGTCTAAACCATCTCATCTCACATAATTACCACAGTAACCAGGGACAACTTTTATAAGCATGAGCATGATATGTTAACTGAAACAAAAAAATCTGTATTTTCTCTTCTTTCTTATGCACTTCTTGTTACTGTGCACTATTTTATTTTATATTTGTATCATGTTCGAATAAAATTTCATTTCATTTCATTTCATTTCATTTCATAAGTAGGCCAGTAGGGCTGACCCCTCCCTGGCATTTACAATGAAGGTGTTAAACTAAACAACTAAAAAATAAGCTAAAAATAAATACATTTGAGAAATACTGTATCACATTTTGTTGAATTTTCAACAAACCTGGTGTCAAACCGCCTGGGGAAAATCCTGGGGTCTTTCCGAATTTCTAACTTCTGACAGCCCCATTCAGCTAACTGTCTGTCATGGCTCAGAATGATTGACAGGCGTCTAGCCACGTCCCCTCGGTTTGCAGCTCATTATGGCTAATTTTGGTCAGCCCAGGGCCAGCCCGCGGCCACAGGATTCAACCAATCAGAATGGACTTGCCTTGAGCGCAAGTCTGTGTGGGCGTGGTTCGGCGTAGACTGGGTAGGTGCAATGGCAAGCAATATTGGCATAAATGAGGTGGATTATTCAATCAATAATCCCTTTTCCTTAATGTCTATTGAGGGAAAATGGAGGTGAAGAGGTTGGGGCCAGACAGACCAGAGTATATTCAAATCCAGCAACGAGAAAAAAAGGCAAAACCGCGAGTTTGCAGGTTCCAGTAACAGATTAACAGGTGTTGGCTGAAATGCAATGCTCTGAGTCCATTATGTTAAAGCAGGGAAACACCTAAATCATCCAGAGCAGTGTGGCTTGAGGACCTGGGGTGGGAAACACTGGAGTAACCTACCCAAGTATACAGGAGGTGTCTGATCAGATCAGATCTACAAAGTCCAGCCAAACAGTGAAACTACATGGTTGTTAGAAGAAGAGGGAACAACTGCACTAACCCACCAAGGAATATGATGGGTAGAGTGAGAAAAGAAAAACTCTCATCATTACACTTAACATCCATGAACTAAGTACTGTTGAGGTCCAAAGTCCTAATTTCAGATGAAAGTCCATCCATCCATCCATCCATCCATCCATTTTCTAACACCCTTGTCCCTAGTGGGGTTGGGAGGGTGCGAGAGACTTTTTGCCTCTCGCACAAAAAGTCTCCAGCGAACTTTTCGTGCGAGAGGCAGGGTCACCCTGGACAGGAGGCCAGTCTGTCGCAGGGCATTCAGATGAAAGTAAAGTTTTCATTTCATTTGGAAATCAAGATCCCAGAGTCTGGAGGAAGACTGGAGAGGTCAAGAGCAAAGTTTCCACCGTCTATGATGTGAGGTGCCATGCCATCTGTTGATGTGTTATCTGAAGTCCACACTCAACACAGCCATCTACATGGAAATTTTACAGCACTTTCATGCTTCCTTCTGCCGACAATGATGCTGAAGTAAGGGCTTAAAACTTGTTCACACTGACAAAGGTACCAAAAGTTAGTGCAGTGATTGTTGTGTTACTGAGCTTGATTGGTCAGCAAACGCTCTGGACTCTAAAACTGAGAAGTATTGTAAAAAAAAAGGAAAAGCAGAGACAGCAAACTTAACAATTCAGATTACCTGAAAACTCTAATTAAAGCAATCTGGGCTTCCATGACCGCAGAAACAACTGTCCATGCCACGCCACATTAATGTAGCAATTCATGCAAATCCAAACAAATGCATATAAATGAACATTTTCCAGAAGTTTTGTTTAAAATGTGCATTATTTTTACTACCCTTATATGCCATCCTAAGAATATTTTCTGAGACACCAAATATTGAGTTTTCATTAGCCATACATCCAAAATGCTAGAAATAAAGGCTTGAAATATTTAAATCTATGAATCTATATGAACATTTAAAATAACACTGAGAATAGAACCAGTTTCTCTTTCTAAAATGACAACTGCTACCTTTTTCACGATTTTCTAATATTTTTTATAGCAAACAATTCTTCAATTTCACATTCAGAATTAGAATGAAAATAGTCTGTTTTTGTCTCGTAAAAGACAGTCCAATGTAGTTGAGGATATAAACAGAGCAACAGCCTAAAAAGTCACCAACACATGTTCTGTTATGAGAACTTTTATTCAGAGAAAAATGTATTAATTGGGCTAAATTAAGAAATCAAGACGGTCAACTGAAATACACAGGAGAAAAAGATCAAGTTGATCCATGGCACAAAAACTTTTTATGGGATTTAAGTTCACATACAACGTCTTCACAAACACGACCCAGAAAAAAAAAATCTGTTTTTATAAATATTTTACTGTACAGCCTTAAAGTGCATTAGAAAAACCTGCTCCTCTGCTCTGTCACTCAACAGAACAAGTTAACGCAAAAATGAAAAATGTAGTTAAAAATCAGTGGTACTTTTTAGATTCATTCATGTAAACAGTAATCATTGTACATTTGTATATTTTATTGCTTTTACTTTGTGCTTGTTTATTTATATTTACAATATTGCAAACCTTTAAATCACTCTTACTTATTTCATGTTGCTTATGTTGAGTCTGATTTTGTTGTCCTTTTTTCAGTTTTGAAACATTTAGTTTGGCTAATAGCTGTTTTTTTCTCTCAGGCATCAAAATTATTGAAAATAGATTTGCAGTGTCTGAAAGTCATGTGTTTAAAAAATGCTATAATATGTAGCAAAGACCAGACACAGGACCTTTATTGCTCATCGATTGTATGGTAGGATTTTACCGATCTTGGAAATCACCTTGTTGGCGTCATTCAAGATTTATTAAAAATGTTTTTGAAATTGTTTTATTTGCCTTTTATTTTGTTTTTTTACAAATTCAGCCCAAAAAAGTTTCAACAAATCATGTCTGACAGGGAGATGTTGATGAGTTTCAAAAGGTCTTATTAACTGTTTTATTTGTTGATATGTGTGTGAACTGGTTCAGTCTCTAATTTTATGAGTCAAAGAAATCAAGGAAAAGAATTACAAGACTTTCAGAAAGTCTGATAAAATAATAATCAATCAGACTTAAAAGATTTTATTAAGCTCTTGTTAAAGTATTCAAGGTTTTATTAAACTCCAATAAAAATCTGTATTTTTTATGTTTTTAATCTTCATTGTTACCCAGAAAATGATGACCTTCATAGGTCATTGTTTGAAGGTGATGAGGTAGTCCGGATAAGCTTGGTTATCATGAAAAACGACAAACATGTTGGGTCTGTTCATTCTATCCACCACACTGTCGTAACGTATATGAGGCTCCTGGTCGTCGAGAGGCGGAGGAACCTTCATGCCGGTTTGGCCCAGAGTGTAGACGCCCGTCAGGACTCTAACCACAAACATCAGCTGAGAGCCATCAGCAGCAGGTCTGGAGTAGGTGGGATGGGTGGAGTAGCTGGCATTTACAGCAAAGTAGGTTCCCTCACCGTATCTTGTTGCTATGAGACCGACAAAAATAAATAAAGATTTTAGCAAATTAAAACAAAAACATACTTGCTGAACAGATTTTTCCTTATATATTTACTAGATTTCATTGCTACTTTTAAGGTAGACGTCACCAATTTAGCTTACAAAAGCTATAAGATATAATGCATAAGATAGTTTTACCGTTTTGCCCACAGAAGCGCCTGTTGAAGCCAGTTTTCATGATGGAGTCACAGTTGTCCTCCGTTGTCCCATGGTATAAAAACTTTTCGTTTGCTCCTCCCTCCTGTTTGTTCTTTCCAAATATTAGTGTTTTCTGTGCCTCATAAGTACGTCGTAGAGGAATGTTCTGCACTCGCTCAATCTAACAGGAGAAACAGAGAAAAAACAGCTAACCCACCAATCTCAGTTGTTGGCACCTCTAAAGAAAATACATTAAAAACTCTTTTAAAAAATATCAAATTTGACAAAAAATAAAAAAAGAAAATACAGATTTTAAAGATCCACTAATGTGTAAATTTTGTATGTTTCTGTACTATCATAAGAGAGCCTCCTGCTTCTAGAAACAGTCTAAGAGGAAAAAAAAAACAAAAAAAAAAACAGCCATTTTTGGGGAATAAGTAAATGTTCCCCTGGTGTCTGCAAAAAAAACAGCCTGTTTCAAAAACCTCAATTGTTGCTTTACAATTTGTTATCTAGCAACTCCAACCCAAGAGAAGCTTCACCCACTTCATTCAAGATGTTAAATACCGCAGCACAATGGCTGCTGGAAAAGGAAAATGTTTTGTTAGTGGCTGCAATAGGCAGGTGTCCATACATTTTCTCCCAGTCACATAGAACAGAGATGCATGACTTCATTTTGTTTTTGCTTGCTTTTTACTTACAATATATTTCCAGTAGTGTTGATAAATATATTTTCTTTTTGTAAGTGTACATATATATTACCTATACATATGTAAATTACGTGTAAAATCTTTAGTCGCATTGATTACTGCAACAGCATCTTCACAGGTCTGACTAATAAATCAATCAAACAGCTGCAGCTGATCCAGAACGCTGCTGCTCGCGTTCTCACTAAAACCAGGAAGATAATAATCCTCTGACATATGTTAGGAATCAAAATCCTGCACTGTTTGTCCTTAGGCATAATGCGTGTCATGAACATTTAAGCATGATCTTTTAATATTAAAAAAATTAACATGCAGAAAAATGTTAATGGACTGCTTCAGATAGTGTTAGAATATAATAAACCATGCATTCTCTCATATCAGAAACATCAGTATCATTTATCTTAATTTTTTCCGAGGTACCTGGATGGAATGTGGTCAATGTTAAAAAGAAAATAAATACCAAGGGCAGTTATCAAAAATATCACAAGAGTACTTGTAAAACTCTAAATCATTTCTGAGTTAAGCAGTAGGCAAAGGCAGAGTTTTTAAAATTGTAAATTATAAATCCTTATTGGAAGCCACCGACCTTCATTACAGTTTGGTTAGCAGTTAGTTTGAATCCCTGCTTCACTCTCCTGTACTCTGGTGAAGAAGACTCCAGCGTTACCCTCTTCAATACCTCACCGTGCGTCATGTTGTCCCATTCCAAAGGGAACGTGAAGTCTGGAAAATATATTAGACCACAAAATTAGAGAGTTTTTTTTTTTTTTTTTTTTTTTTCCAGTTAGTGAACCTGTGTTATAAAATAAGAATATCCAATAGGATTGTTTCTAAGATTACAACTAAGAATTAACCACAGCTTTGACACTGAATGAGAGGAATAAACAAAAGTTATATTAACACCAATATACAGTAGTATGATATTTGATTATAAAAATTGTAGCAGTCACCATTTAGTGTAAGAAGTGGAAACTAAAATACATTTTTTATCAAAAGAAAAAGGACAAGGACTTAAACAAAAATGAGGAGGGTAATAACAGCAAATTAGCTAGCTGATAGTTACAAACACATTCATAACATTTTGCAAAATACTGAGTAAAAGTAGCTTCTGACC